AAGCACCTGCCCCCTCCTGCTCTCCCGCCGCGGGGCCGGCGGCGTCCGCCTCCCCTCAGCACACAAACATCCCTCAGCTTGGGAAACCAAGGGTCGACAGAAAAAAAAGAAAAAAAAAAAAAAGGCAAAAAGCGAATTAAACCCCTAAACATATCCCAAAACCACTGTGTGGCAAAAACTGAGGGTCACCATGAAATGGCTGCTACGGAGAGGCTCCTGCTCTCCCGCCGCGGGGCCGGCGGCGTCCGCCTCCCCTCAGCACACAAACATCCCTCAGCTTGGGAAACCAAGGGTCGACAGAAAAAAAAGAAAAAAAAAAAAAAGGCAAAAAGCGAATTAAACCCCTAAACATATCCCAAAACCACTGTGTGGCAAAAACTGAGGGTCACCATGAAATGGCTGCTACGGAGAGGGGTTGGAAGCCAGTGGCACCCAGGCTGAAGGAAGGGATTTGCCTCCACCACCTCCCAGCCGAAGAGACACCCTCCTCCTCACCGGAGCGGCGCAGTTAATCTGCAGTTGCTTTTCCCCAAAGGTTTGTCTCGTTCAATTAAGTGCTTTCATTTATTTTTAAAGCATCTCGGTAAGGGATTATTTTTGTAAGCTGCTGCATGAAACCCAGGGGCCTCTGCTCTCACCGAAACCAGACTCCAGCCCTGCTTCTGCTCCTCGGGAGTCGGGATTTTGCTATAAAGCTGAGCTGCTTCTCCCTGGCGCCGCGATTTTGGGGCGACAGATACACCCTAATGCTGACCCTTTTAAATCGGCAGAGTTATTCCCATACAAGAGGGGGAATGAGTTGCACTGGTGTTTGCAACTATGTGCACGATAATAATTAACTCTCTTGCAAACAGCCCAGCATCGCTTCCAAATCCAGCCTGGGGCTGGGGTGGGGAGGAAGATGGAGGGGAAGGCGGGGAGCACAGCACTGGTGGCAGGATGGCCATGAAGCACCACTCACCCAAAAAATAAAAATTCACAAAATAATCAGGAAACTCTTCAGAGAAACCCCGCCAGTTCTGCCTGGCCTTATTATATCCTTAAGTAGGACCCAGTCTGGGGAAGATGAGTGAGCCTGGGCTGAAGGGCAAGGCCGGCCACACCGCATCAAATAGCCGGAGTGACGGGGCAGGCAGCGAACGCCGGATTTCACGCTGGTCCAGCCCCGACCGCGGCTCTCGCATGGTCCCGGTGCAGCGGCGCTGCAGGACGGGCGGGCTGGGGGAAGCCGCATTTCCACCGAGCCCAGCCCCACGATGCCAAGCCCCGGGAAAAGCGAGATGGGCTCTTGCTCCATCGGAAGAAATTATCTGCTCCGGTGAGCCTCCCTGCATAAATTACTACCAGCTGCCAGGCACCCAACATCATGCAGAAGGGGAAGCCTTAATTAATTGTGCCATAAATACAGGCACATTTTATACGAGATCTTCCCATAATAAACTTTGTTTCTGGTCTCAGCCTACCTTAACACACTGGGCAAGGGACTCGCTCTGCTGGCTCTTCTTTGGATGCCCCTTGACCCGCGGTTCCTTCAGGTACGTCCCCTCCAATGTGTCCCTGAGACCGGTCGGTAGATGAAGCCCCCGCAGAGGATCCCTATGGATCTGGCCACACGATTCAGTGTTTTCCCAGCTGGGCTTTCGAGAGCTGGAGGAGTGCCACAGCCCAGCATAATCCTCAATATTCCCTCTTTCATCCCTGCCACCCGCTTCTCCGAAAGGAGCCAACTCGGATGAAAGGGGCTGCCTGCCGTCGCTGTGACGTGGAAGGTTACGGTGGTCGTGCCCGGGCGTCCTTATAGTTAAGGAAAGATCGGACAAAAACTGAGCCAGCCTTTCCAGCTCCTGCAGTCTCCG